GGGGTAAAATCGATCTTTTCAATAAAACCATCGGCGTAAAATGCAGTAGCCATTGTGGTAAATGGTCAGTGTACTTATCTAGGGCCGTATTGTATTATTTCTGTTCACTATACCGAATGATGTCTTTATATTCTTTCTGTTATCGTGTTTCGTAAATTGCTTCACTAAAGCGCTCTGGGTGCATTGTCTGTCCGGAATAATAAGTTCATGTCAGGTTCATCGATGGGCATTGTACCGGTTTATGCTTTTCATTATACACTTAAATTGATGGGGAGGACTGTGACAGTAAAATGACCACACGCCATTAGCGGTCACTATGGTTGGATAGAAACAATGAGTGGTGTAAAATGGTCAAAAAAGACAGTCGAGAAATAAAGATGGAGTTACTATTGGTATACTTTAAAGCACACAGATGGAAGAGGTGATCCCTAAACATTTGAAAATTAAAATCTGTTAAAATTAATTTAATGTGTGTTGGCATCATGATTAAGGAAAGGGGATATGTACTATAGGTACATTATATACCAACCTAAATCCTAAACCTAGTATCTAGTCACGTATTCCTTTACATTTACTTTAAGAATAATTTTAGAATTGACCAAATCTCATATCTCTTTCTAGGGATTGCCGGCGATATGGAATTCGCGGCGGCATATTAAACAAATCATGCGATGTCTACGAAGTATACGCAAAGTAATTATTGGGGATTTTTTCCTTTAACAAAATTGAGATTCCCATTGTAAGTTCAGCTCCTGTTTTATAAAATTATGGATTCGTGTTTTAAATTAGATGAAGCAAGTGCATAAATTTACAAACAGTGCGTATCATAGATAGACATCCATCGATTACGGGAGGTGCAGGGTATATAGCATGTCCATAATGAAATCGTTATATATAGATTGATATGGTGGTTGGTGTAAACCTCACGATATGTTATTTATGGTGTCAACACACAATGGAGTATTATATATACAGGCAACACGAACAATGCAAATGTCTCTGTGTGTATAACCAGGTATTAACTCTATTGCCTGGATACAAACCTGGCCTATCCCCTGATAATCATGCGCATAGCACATTGATCAAGTCGTGAAAATCAGCCGTCTACTGTAGGCTGTAGTCCCCTTGAATGGTGGGTGGGTCCATGAACTTTACGGTACTGTGACCGCTAAGGGGTCGACCATTTAAAAACATGGGGAGTGGCTGGACGACTTGTTAACTAGAAAATCACCAAGAAAAAGTCACATAATATGCAAGGTGTTGCAGGGAAAATACGTTTGGCACATTCAAGTAGAATAAAAATGAACAGGGAAGATACCGCAAAAAAAATGCACCTGTCATGAGTTTAAATAGTTTTCCCTTTAAGTCGCTTAGCAAATATGCTCAGTATGCGACCTGAATAAGTGTGAATACCTGTACGAACAACCTATATAATTGTGAAAGGAATTTAGCTTTCGCTATGCGTGAACACTCGATTATATTTGAACATTTGAAATACAGTAATAGAGGCACGATTTCTGTGGTAAAGTTAAATTCATTTTAACATATCATTCCGACACAGCAGCGCACTATGACATCATTGTCAACCACAACCAAGTCGTAAATTATTAGCATGTGTACCCAGTCTCGTATCGCGGCGAAGTTGAGATGGTTTAATGCGTATACATATATGTACACGGTCGCATGATTGACCAGATGCATTGCCTATGTGTTATAGCTACTTGCAGCGTAATGTGTTCAATGTTCAATGTGTGATCGCCCCACCTGGTAGTTGGAAGCGACGATAATCACTTCAATCGAATGTCAAGAGGACCGTGTATTTGCTAACATCATTTTTACCTTTGCATATACACTGATAAATACATTATTTGTATGTGCGCAGTGATACCATAACAGAGTCGCATTCACTGTAGTTTTAGCATATAACTACATCGGGCACTTAACAGTGGTTTGTTGTGGGCTGCATTGAAGCGAATTCGCCTAGGTAGTCCGTAGTACAATACTACCCGACCTTTGACATAGAATCCCCCCCCCCTCTTTACGACAAGTTACCGTAGATATGTCTAATTTCAGCTAAATCGATTTTCAACAAAACATGCCATTGTATTACATGAAATCGAGTTGTTTACTTGTGTAACGTTGTTATCAGGGAAGATTCTAAACTACGGCGTCCCATGCATCATTATGATTGAGTTGTGTAACGAGCAATTCGGTGGTTTAAATTCACGGTACTCTTGTTAAACCCACCGTGCCGACTACTATTACTACTGCAGTGGCAACCTTTCCAGCTTTCCAACAAAAATATCCGTATATAGAGCCAGTGATCCCCTGAGAGTGCTCTCTTCATAATTGAAGAGCTTTATTACAAAAAATAATTATTTGTGAACTATTTCACAGTCGTTAATTTTCGCACCAATTTTCGTTAATTTTTTTGTGGAAATGCGGTCATATGCCGCGTTTAATGTGCATTCACTGTGTAAAGATGGGCAGATATAAAATGTAAACAACTTCAATAGTGAACAATCACTTGTACGTGGCGTTGTCTTGGCTTACCTTTTATTCTGAAACTCCCGAGCTCTAGGTATATCCTTTGTAGAGAAGTCCGACTCAATTCCGCGACGCCTGGGTCACAGTGAACACAGAGGCGACGTGCTGATATAAGTTATGACTGATAGATTCCCAGGTGTAGCGATACTACTACAAACACGCACAGCAAACTGTTTCACTCGTTGTAGTCCACGCGTGCTACCCGTCTACCTTGTCGCTATAATAAATTTAGTGATGTTGGAACGTTCACTCGTAGTCTAATGAATTATGTATGACATACCCTGGAATTCTTATTTGGTTCAACCAACAAGAAAGGTATATGCAATCGAATACATTAGGGGACCAACGACGTCGGGGATTCGGGAGCAACTATTATCATCTGAAGGGGTGGCTGGTCCTTTAAATCGAGGGGTTTAAAGTGTTCTGAGGTGAACTTTGAGACGTTCCGATTTTTATGAGTATTCCGTTACTGTGGAATTGATTGTGGTAGTGTTAATCGGTGCATGGTTAGCACATAGTCTATGAAACTTGATTTAACTCATCCATTCAGAAAGTTCGATTTAAGTTTACGGTTCATAGAGTTGAATTTAAGGACAGACAACACAACACGAATCTTCTAATACCACCATTGTCAGTACCAAGACGCTCCCCACATTGTATTTAAATTTAATATAACGATGTTGAGAATGAAATTGCCAAAATATGTATTCGTTAAAATACAAACTATGGTCGAAATTTTCTAGGTGAAAGATTTTTTCCAAGACGCCCCTCTCCCTCATTTCCCGAACAATCACCGTGACGATGTGATACCCCTCCTATTACCCAAACGATCTATTGTTATGCTATGGGAAACATCTAGCTGTGTCCAGTTTTTTGTCGACTCCTGGCGGTAGTCAGGATTTATCTCACCTGCGATACGTTACTATAGTAACAGACAAATAATATGACATCACCATGGTATCCGACGCTGTGACGTCATGTATCGCGTTCACAACGTAAATGATTGGAATCCGCCGAATATGGAAGAAGGGATTGGGACAAAAACTTGCTGACAAGAATCAAAGTAAAGGCGACCCGTTATTAATGTGATTTTTGCATTAAAATGAAGCCCCGCTCAGATTTGTTTTTTGTTTCGTTTTTGTTTATAGGGTTTACCGCGAGTCGTCTTTACATGGACCACAGTCTCTCTATCTATAGAGGGACTGTGCATGGACGACGGAAGCAACGGCGATTGCGGTACGTATTGAAAAAGAAACAAAAACATTTTTTTCCACATCACTCTTGTCAATTACGGCCAGAAACTCCACTGCTTTCTCCTTCAACACTTGCCCAGTTCTTTTGTCATGTTGAGTGTTTGATAATTGCTACATGTACCTGTGACGCAAGTTGAATTTATTTGAGGCTGTGTACAGTAGACCACCCATGCCGTTCTTGTACCAGTCGTGGCCGGGTATAAATCATATCGGGTATGTTAACAAACAAGTAATATTTTGTTTATATAACATGTCAAGGTAGTGTACGTCTTTATTGGACACCCCCCATGACAAATCGCGCTTACGTGGCGTCGGCTTTCATATCGCGTAATGAACACACCAATTACTTGCTGTTTACGTCCATAAGTCGGAGTACGCCCTCTATGTAATGTCGGTTATTTTTGCAAAACGATCACAGACAGTGGAAAAGTCTTGTTTCAACGAGATCGACCAATATCACAGTCTTGTTCAGTTGTCTTAGCACTAGTAGTTTAGTTCACCATTCATGTTTTAGGGGTATATTCGACTTGCACAATTTCTATTCCTTCACTGTGCGAGAAATTTCTGATAGGATACGCAAACGTGCAAGGAGGGGGGGGGGGGCAAATTTACGTTATTTGATCTTTGGTAGATTTTAACCAAAACGAAACACATTATGGTTTAAAAAATATATTAAATCGGACCAAAACGTTGGTAACATCTGAAATGCGATTTTCAGAGAATTTCATGAAATATAATTGCTTATATAGGTGGTACTGGCCTGAGGTGGCGCTGTTCACCACCGAGTTGGATTTGTTTGAGTTAAAATGAATTTGTACAAAATACTAGTAATTTATGAACGTTCTTATACAGTCCAACATTCAGAGGTTAATTTCTGTACAATGATCTCATATCCACGACTCAAAAACTTAATGAAACTAATTGAAAATTTTCCCTGTAGGAATTAAAAGAAGTCAAGTTTATAGTGATTTCATGAAAAAGCAAGGTAACACGCACTTACAGCCAAACATTCACCCTCACATACAATCAAATCATGACAAATGATCTTCTATCACACATAGAGGAAATGATACATCATACTTAGCAATAAAACAAATCTTCCCCCTTTTAAAGTAGATGAACATTTACTGAAAACAGGAAGATTATATCAAGATATTTATATGGCATCCTTGATGTATATAAAAAACTAAAGTACAATCCTTTTTATCAAGTGATATTTATTACAAAATGCATAAGCAGTGAAGCAGAAAGGGAAATCATACAATAGATTATATTTAATGGAATTATAAAAAACAATATAGAATGGAATGGGTGCAATATTTTGCACAAAAAATGAAACTACTATATCAGTGAGAATTTATCGCTGACAGTTCTGCCCACTTTCATGTAAAGGATGTTACCTACACAAGCTAGTGTACATGATCCTGTACACAAAATTTGAATGTGTACAACTATGACGATTTAAGTTGAAAGTTGTAATTTGGCCCCAAGACTAAATGGAATGTCACTATTAACAGAGGAGTTAGATGCTCTCTCTGTACACAAGTCTTTTCCTGAGAGTGAATTCTTCCAACCCCCTAATATCCAAAATAAAAATCAACTTGACCATCAAAAAAAGTGTGTGAATTTAGTAAGCAGAACTTCAAGGATAAGTCGCGTAGCAACAATGATTTATTTTTATCAGATTAAAATATGCAGAGCACAATATATAAACAAAAACTAATTATTCTAAATACTCTGCAGTGATTGAGCTATATATGAATACTAATGAAGTCATTTGCATAATTTAGTAATATACTTTTTTAATCAGCCAAATATATATATACAGACCACCATTTCAGGGTTGTTATCACTAAACTCAAAACGCCATCTCCTAGTCCTAGGGTCTGTCAATAGGAATAAAAGCTATCAATCAGAAATTGGTTTATCTAAAAAAAGTAATGTTTTTTAGACACAGTAAAGGGAGCAAACACTTTTTTCAATGGCAGTACTTAAACTAGAGAGGGCGCTATAATGCCACGATAAAGGTTTGAACAATTTATGCTTTACTATATTATTTTTATACTCGCAGCAAATAGGTGAAAACCATGAAATAATTATCAAACAATTGTCACTGGAAGTTTTGGAAGTATCTGCTCCTTGAAAAGTGTGATAGAAAAAACTGACCAATGACAGATGGGTTTACATGTAGAATCAAATATGACTGTTACAAGGACACTGAATGGTTGGATAATTACAGTGAAACAAATAAGTTGTCAGTTGAAATTTTATTTGACCCACCCAGTGTCTAGCTTTGTCACCCCAACAACTCAGAATGGTCACTCTCTCTTTACACTGAATTCCAATTAGCACCAACATTGAAACTTGTGGAGAGACAAGGTTAAGGAGAAAAGACATATACAAGAAATAAACGTTTGCTCCCTTGCCAGTGTTTGATACTAAACACAGGGAAAAAAAACTACAGCTTTCTTCTCTTCAACAAATAATTACTTTAGTTTGATTGAACCATCTTTATAAACTCTGCAAGAAATGAAAAAAAATAATACATGGTTTAGACACTATACAATAGGTTGGTATGTTGTTACACAGCTTACAAAAAATACCTTTCATCTATTCCTGTCAATCCATCTCTACTTCATAGTCACTCACAATTAACCTCATACAAATATATGCTTCACTGAATTTAGGAAGTAAACTGAAAATTTGTCTCAGTACATTATGTGTTTGGTTTTGTCAGAAAAAATCGATATCTTGTGTGGATATTACATGCAGTTGATATAAATCCAATATTGTACTTACACGTATAAGCATATGGGTCCAATATGATTTAATTTTTCTACACATAATCCTATGATGCACGTCTCTTTACATTCTATTGTGAGATTTACAGCTATGCTGATAGCAAATCTACCGATATGTACAAAACTAATACCTCAAAAAACTAATGGACTTCAGTTAGTCAATCAGACATTTTTGATGACTGTAACATGATACTATTCAAAGTGACCCCCTCCTCCTCCCAAGGGCATACTATACTACTCGTGTACCTTCATAGTTTATCTGCCCCTGTGCATCTTCAAAACCCGACAACAGCTGTTCTACTTCATCGTCGCTCAACCTTTCACCTATAAACAATAAAACCATAGCACTGGTGAACTTTGGTAACATGAAAATATGGTCTCAGAAATTTGGTAGTTACATACTAATGTAAACACAAACGTCCTTACAATTGCTTTAATTTGCAGCTCTTAATGTTACAGTCCCTCTCAAATTAATCTGTTTTGACCTCTAATAAAGTCAAACAAAATGACCTTTGACCTTGCACAATGATAAATACCTATAAGATCACTCTTCTCAATAAAAGGCAGAAAAACAACAAATATTCAAAAAAAATATATCTTAAACTTTCAGTACGATATACCAGATTTATTTTGCATTTCTATTTTATTGCAAGACAAAAGAGACAGAGTTGTCTCCAGCTGCAAAGTAAAACATTTTGAAAAATACTTATCCATAGGGAATCGCACAGAAGTGTAATGCATGTAGCTACAATATTTGTCAAATTCTGTGTTAAGGAACTGAACGTCAAATTCTGTCATATACTTTATTTTAGCTGGAATTAATTTTCACTGAAAAGATTTTTTGGGTGTTTTGTATGGAACTTATTTTCACTGATTTTTGATGAGTTAAATGAAAGATACAAGGAGAACGGTATATTTGCTGGGTTTTATTTTCACTGAATCATCCCCTCAGCGAAATTAGTGGAAATAAATTCCAAGCAAAAATAAAGTATTTTACAGTAGGTGAATTTATATTTGAAGGATAGAAACTTATGTGTAGACAGTGGTCAAAATTGGAGGTAATCTCTAACAAACGAATATGCAAATTGGTTTCCCATGGAAACAACAATGTATCTAATCTACCGATAGTATCATACATCGTACATCAGTTGTTTGAAAGGCCTTATCCTGACATTATTTCATTTCAACTTCTGCGAAAACACAATGAATTTGGCTGTAGAATGTGGGTGCACACACCAACATTCTACACTATCGTGTATATTCTACCATACTCCCATAGTGATCTCATAGTGGTGGTAGTCACTTACCAAGCGTAGTAAGTACATGACGTAACTCTGCAGAATTTATCGTACCATTACCATCTTTATCAAATACACGTAATCCTTCAACGTACTCCTCATACGATCCTGGTTCTTTGTACTGTTTGACAGCTTGGACAATTGGAAGGAATTCTTCAAAACTGATACGATGGTCTGTGAAATGACACAAGGTATAATCACAAAAATCAATCACATGCTAACAGAAGCACATCTCCCTCTCAACCAAGTAACGGTACTCTAAATTCGTTACATTATTTCTGACAAACCTGGGCATCTTCTAAGAATAAATAAGTTTAGCAAATCTCGCTCATACAATATCGTTCTTAACAAAATTTTAAGCTGTTAAGGTCAGACTTTTTTTATTTCTTGTTTCTCAAGTTTTTATTAGGAATTTTTTTTTGAGGAGGGCGAAAAAAATAAAATTAATTCTTTTTTTCCATTAGATTTGTGTGATCGTCAAAGAATTGTAAGTGAGATCATTGATCGGAGAGAAGAAATGAAATAAAATGTTATTCCATGTATAATCTTGTTTCTCATCTGCGCGAGACTTCGGTATTTTAATCATGATAATCCCACGAAAATGCAACTTGAATTTGTTATGAGATGGGCGGTGAAAAAAATGAAGATAAAAATAATATTTTTTTAGCAATTTTTTGTGCTTACAAGTCGGCGGGCGCGAGAAATTACGCTGAAATAAAATGTTATTTTTATTTCATTTTCGGCTTATGTTTATTCGGCGGGTTCGCGAAACAAGGGATAATAAAAGTCTGGCCTTAGCTACTTGGCAGACAGATAAAATTATGATAGATCACATTTTTTCAGATACATACTACAGTAAACATATTTTTAAAAGAATATTTGTTTTTTCTCCGGTTTATTTTTACCCCTTACTGTGATTAATGATGCTTTTGAATGGTGATTATTCTCTCAAAATTATACTTGTAATTCTTTGGTGGCAAAAAGTGACATAATATGTTGTAGCTAAACCTAAAAGTACTGCACCATTGGCAATTCATGGTCCACAAAATACTGCCACCTTGAACATTGCAACCACTTTCATATACTAGTAATCAGTTTTTCAAAAATGATTGGGTTTTGAGAAAATTCACATTTTGTCGAGTCTAATTGTCAGACAGAAAAAATATGCTTCAAAAGTTTCTGAAAAAGTAAAACCTTTGTCAAAATAAATCAAATTGTTGAAAGGTTAGCTCAGAAAGCATGAATAAAACAGCATCTGGTGATTTCAAATAAAGTAATATTTGGTAAAATCAAATACCTGGACCCATTCCTGATGCGTATCGCTTAACGTCTGCTTGTGTTGGATTATACCCCAGTGCTCTGATGACGTCACCCAGTACACGGATCTCAATCTTACCATCTCCCTTCTTGTCAAAGATAGAGAAAGTATCTCTCATTTCTTTAATAAAACAAATAATATTTTTAGATCAAAAACTACTATGTAACCAACATGTTTCAGACAATTTCAACACTTGAACACCTTTCTTCATTTACACTCAAGACGCAGTAGTGACCAATACTACACCCAGCGATGAAAATAGAATCTTGTCTCTGAGTGCAGTGATCATACAGGCCAGATCTCATAAAACAAAAAATTAACCAGGAAAATAAGTTTAGTTAAAAGGTAGCTACTTTGTATTATAAAGACTTGCAAGCTATAGAAAAGTGTCATAATCTGGCTGCATACTTTTTAAATCAAGCCACC